GTAATAAATCTGTATAAAAATTATATGCAGATAAATAAAATAATAATTAGTAAACAATAAACATGTAATTAAAAAACAACGAATAAAATTTATATTGTTGTTAAATTTAACTAAATAGTTATTGATTAAAAGTTTTATATAGTCTAATTCAAAAAAGAACAATAGAAAAAATAAATAATGACCCAAAAAAAAAAAATAAATAAAAAAAATAAATAACAGACTTAAATAGTATTATATACATTTGTACATATATTTTGTAACAAAAGTAAGCAATGCAGATTCGGCAAATTCAGTTTTATTCAGATCTACAGCTGTTCTTATAAATTCTAAAACAACTAATAAAATTTTGATCAATGACTATTCAGCTGATTAGATAAAGAATTGGCTAAATAGTCATCGATCAATTCTATCAGTGTTCTAGAATTTATGAGAACAGCTGTAATCCGAATCTAAAGGAAACTAGATTTATATCTAATACCGAATCTATACATATAGGTGCAGTTCTTGAATAATAATTTAATTATTTTAAATAATAATAATAACAGCTGTTTTCGTTCTAACTAGAACAGCTGATTAAAAATTTGACCGAATAAATATTTGCCAATTCGATAAGTTTTTAATTTAGGCTTAAATTGAATGAATCTAATTGTAACACCTGTAATATAACAACCTCCAGAACCAATGGGGCCAATCAAAAAATTTTATTTAAAATTTTTTTTTTAAATTTTTTTTTTACATATCAGATATAAAAACTTAAAAAAAAAAACAGCCCAAAAAAAAAAGCCAACAAAATTACTAAACTTCAACAAAACTAGGAGAATCAAAAGAGTTCAAAAGAAAAGAATCACTGGGAGAATCGAAAGAGTCTAAAGAATCACTACCAGGAGAATCGAAAAATCGCGACAGGGAGAATCTAAAGAGTCCAAAAAATCACCACCAAGAGAATCAAAAAAGTTCAAAGAATTACCACTGGGAGAATTGAGAGTCCAAAGAATCACCACTAGAAAAATCAAAAGTCCAAAAGAATCACCAGGAGAATCAAAAGAGTCTACCAATAGGAGAATCAAAAGTCCAAAAGAATCACTGGGAGAAGAGAAAGAGTTCACCACCAGGAGTCCACTACCAGGAAAATCAAAAGAGTCCAAAATAATTACTCAGAGAATCAAAAGAGACCACTGCCAGGAGAGTCGAAAGAGTCCAGAAAAAAACACCAGGAGAATCAAGAGTCCAGAAAGAGTCACTAGAAGAATCAAGAGTCCACAACCGGGAGAATCAGAAGAGTTCATGAAGATACACTGAAGGAATCAAAAAAGTTTACAAAGATCTACTGAGAGAATCAAAAAAGTTCATCATCGGGAGAATCGAAAGAGTCCACCACCAAAGAACTACCAACGCTATTACATATTCTAAATCGCACGCCATTTTACGTCCTGAAGTAAAGTACAAACCTAAAAAAGAAAAAAATGTTAGTAAGCGAAAAGGAACAAAAATAATTGGCTGGTACTTATCTTTATCTCAGTTCAAGTAATCACCAAAATCTGGGAGAATCAAAAGAGTCCAGAACCATTGGGATAATCGAAAAAGATCACCACTGGGTGAATCGAAAGAATCCACCACTAGGAGAATCAAAGAGTCCCAGAATCACTGGCGGTTCTTTGTGGACTCTTTTAATTCTCCGAAAGAATCAAAAGAGTCCACAAAGAACCACCAGCACCATTACATGTTCTAAATCGTACTATTTTATATTCCAAAGCAAAGAGCAAATATAAAGAGCAAACCTAAAAGAGAAAAAAAAACAAAAAAGAAATCAAAAACTTGACTGGTACTTATCTTTATACCAGTTCAAGTAATCACCAAAACCTAAAAGAATCAAAAGAGTACAAAACCACCAAGAGAATCAAGAGTCTAAGAACTGCTAGCATCATTACATGTTTTAAATCGCACATCATTTCACATCCTGAAGTAAAATACAAACCTAAAAGAGAAAAAAATAGTATTGTAGTAATAGAAAAAAAAACAAAAAAGAAATTGAAAATTTGAACTGTACTTATCTTTATATCATTTCAAGTAATCACTAAAATCCGGAAGTTTAAAACTACCGGGAGAATCGAAAGAGTCCAACACCGGGAGAATCAAGAGTCCAAGAATCACTAGTGGTTCTTTGTAGACTTTTTTGATTCTCCGGAAGAATCAAAAGAGTCCACAAAGAACCACCAACACCATTACATTGTTACAAGTGGACTGTAGCCTTCTTAATACAGCACAAGTAACAAAGCACATAGCTATAGAGCTCCGTTGCGAGATTATAGCGGTGTGGAAGTGGAATGTTACTTCACTAAGGGCAGTTCGTGGAAAGT